GAGGGGCCAATGGGGAAAGGGTGTCAGGAGATCCCATTGCTTGGGCACAAGGAGGGTCTACAGGATGAGTCTGAATCGTGGCATGGGGAGTTATAGCCACTGGGCACTCCTCTTAGCACCAGGTGAGTGAGTCACGCTAGGCCTCAAGTTGAGCTAAGTTAGAAGGCTCTGCAGACTGATCCTTCTGGAGCTGGAGGAGCTGGGTCCTGGCAGGCAACACAGTATCCTTAAGGGCACTGCCAGGATGAATGAAACTGTCACCCAGCTGTACATGGGCTTTCTAACTCAAAGGCACACGCTGGGTACCCCTGCTCTCTTCATGGCCCAGAACAGAACAACCCTCGTGGCTGTGTGACATCGGCTTAGAGAACCACTTCCAAATCTCAGTTCCCTCTGTCCCTGACCACCTTCCTGAGCTCCTGAGCTTCTGACAATCTGACTGTAAAACTAGTTGTCCCAAGTCATGCCAAAGTCAACAGGTCCAAAAAAACCTCCCTAAGGCTATTCCCTAGGTCATTTAACATCATTAGTATCCACCTCGCTGCTTAAGCTAGAAACCTGGACGGTGTAATCTCAAACGCTTCCCACAAACCCGTATCCACAATTCTAAAGCCCAAAAAGCTGGGAAAACCAAAACTGATTTTTTAAGGTGGCATCACACTCACTTGGCAACAAAACAAAACTTAACTTGAAAGACACGAGGCCTTGGCCGGTGTGGCTCAGTTGGTTCAGCATCGTCCCACGCACCAAAAGTTGCCGGTTTGACTCCCCATCAGGGCACATACCTGGGCTGCAGGATTGCAGGTTCCATCCCTGGTCGGGGCACAGGCAGGGCCTCCCATCGATGTTCCTCTGTTTCTCCCTTCCTCTCTCTCTCAAATCAATAAAAACATATTCGAAAGACAAGAGACTGTGGTTTTTATTTATCCCACTTAGTGAGAAAAATTTTTGTATTTGGGGACAGAAATGTTAATGTTTGATTATGAGCGCTCCCCCATACTCAGCTGGGAGTGTTACTATTCATGCATGCACTACGGAGCTAAAATCCTCCAGATTCTAAATTCTGGAACTTACCTGGAGCCCTGGGCTTGGGTTAGGGGCTGTGGTCTTGTGCCTGGTGACTAAGTCCTTTTGATATTTCCTTACCTGTGGTTTCTGGCACTGGTCTCTTTATTTCCCAGTGTCGGCACCACAGGTCCTCGCCTCCCAAATGCTCCTGTCTATTTTCGCAGTAGTCTCTCACCGGGTCTCCTGTTCCTCACCCTGCCCTAGTCAAACCTTCTGTTCCCATGTTTGTTAACATCATCTTTATGCAGTTGAAATTTAAAAACATCACTACTCTGTCTTAACACCAAGGCTCCCATCACCTGAGCTGTTTTCCAAATGTCAGCCATTCTAGCACAGTCTTCTCGATTTTTGCCATATTGACGTGCCCACTGCACTACTTCAATTACGTTTTCTTTTAAGTTGATTCATTTTTTACTTAATTTATTTGCATAAGAACCTTATTTTCATTGCTGCAAATGGAAAACCCACATTACTTGTCATAAACGCAAGGCAACCATAAATGTAAATACTAGTAAAACAAAACAATAAGGAACTATGTTTGCCAAAGCAGCTGACCAGAGACTGCTTGCTCTCTTGATTGAAAGGGGATATTAATAAGACCTAATATTTATTGAGAACTTACTATGTGCTAATCACCTTCCCAAGCCTTTACATGTATTAATTCATTTAGTCTGCCCAACTGCCCTATGAGGTTCATACTATTTATCATTATTCCAATTTTACAGGTGAGGAAACTGAGCCACAGAGAGTAAANAGGTTCATACTATTTATCATTATTCCAATTTTACAGGTGAGGAAACTGAGCCACAGAGAAGTAAAGTAACTTGCTCAAGGTCACACAGCCAGTAAATGGCATAATTTAAAAGGTAGAAAGAAACTGAAAAGATACTACATTTCCCTTTATGTGATTAACTTATTGGTAGTAGGATCCACNAGTAACTTGCTCAAGGTCACACAGCCAGTAAATGGCATAATTTAAAAGGTGGAAAGAAACTGAAAAGATACTACATTTCCCTTTATGTGATTAACTGTTATTGGTAGTAGGATCCATNTTAAAAGGTAGAAAGAAACTGAAAAGATACTACATTTCCCTTTATGTGATTAACTTATTGGTAGTAGGATCCACACTTCAAGAAGCCCTGGCCCACTCATTTCTCTAGAATTTTTGTAATGGGCTCGCTTTTATCTTTCCAGCCCCATCTCCTGCCTCCAGCAGTTCCCTGCGCCAGGGTTTATTTGCACGCTCCTGCCTTCGCTCAGCTGCCTAGAATGTCCTTTTAGCTTTTCCATGAGTCCCAGTCATCCTCAGCTCCAGCGACACACAGCACTCCCCAGCCACGTAGGCGTAAAAAGCGGCTTCGTCGCCTTGAGTCCAGGACACGGCTTATCCTTCTGTCCTGGAACTTCATTCTCTAGAGCTGGGTGGGGCTTTATCGCCTCAGATCCTTAGCTCGGTGTCATACACAGAGTTAGTGCTTAATAAATATAAACTAGATGGATGCACACCTGCAGGGGTTTCTTCCAACATGTCCAACCTAGAGAGAGGACACCCACGCGTCTGAGCGATGGTGGCTTGTCATGATGGTGGCAGAAACTGTCCATGGGGCGGGAGGAAGGGGCAATGGGGCGGAGAGGGGACAGTCCCTGTGAGACGGGGTCAAGGAAACGCCTGAAAATGAGCAGCCAGCGTGCCCGCGAGGACCTGGGTGTCTGTGCACAGACCCTGCGCTCTATTCGCCTTTCCTGGGAGTGGGTTCGGCCGAGGCCCCAGCACCCAGCCGTGGCCAAAGCCTCCCAAGCCCACCTGTGGGCTCAGAGGACAGGCCGCCCTTTCCCGGCTGCGTGAACAGTGACGGCGACCTCTGGGGCCTCCGCGGAGCTCCGACCCGGCGGGTC